GTCCCCGCCATATCTGCCCCTCCCTGTTACGACTGTAATGCTCCGACCCACTCCCGTGGCCGTGGACCCCCCAGCCACCCCTATAGCTCCCGCGTTCCCCGGCAGGCCCTCCAAATCAAACACACTCATTTATTCACTCAGACAGTCCCCACGTAATAGTTAAAACACATAGAATACAATAGTAATGGGGGTAATAAAAAGTGGGCCATTCATTCAATCACAAACAGACCCCATACACTCACCATACCAATTTAAAAAATTGCGCAGTCGTGCGAGTTCGTAAAAGGTCTTAAAGATCTTGTGCAGAAAAGTGGCTCTTCTCCCTCTCCTGAGGTCATACAAGGTCCAAAGCCTGGAGGGCCACAGTCTGGAACTGGCTTAAGTTGCTCAAAAAGGTGGAGGGGAGAGCACCGATTTTCGCAATGCCAAGTCCTCGCCCATACGGCTCCTCCCTCTCTTTTGGAGGAGTCCGCTGACCTGGACCTATACTCGGACCAAGAACCCGAGTTGTCCGCCCGCATGCAAGCAGTGGTTGCACACGCCATTGCAAAGCGCATTGCGGATGGCATGCGGGAGCGCGACAAACCTTCTGTGGCTCCCATCACTTCTCCTTCCGATCAGGGCAGGCCTCCCCCAGCTAAGCGGGTTCGTCATCCCTCCCTAGAGTCTTCCGTGGTTAGCGAGGCTTCGGCCTTGGAAGATCCTCACCAGGTGGGGCAGGGGCTCTTGGAGGATGAGGATCTTACTCCGGATGCTCCTGCCTTCTCGGGCCTTTTCAAGCCCAGCCTATTCAAAGTGGTTCTTCATAAGGTCAACCATGGTGGGTATTAAACCTAAGCCCACTCCACCTTCAGCTGATTCGGTCCCGGTAAATCCAAACACGGCCATGTTTGATGTCCCAACTCCTCAACAGGAGCTGGTGCCGGTCCCTGGCTTATTTCTAGATCTCATCCAGCGCCAGTGGACCCAACCTGCCATGTTGTCCTCTCCCAGCAGGGTGGACAAAAAGCTTTATACAATGGAGCCCATCCTAGAGGATATCCTGGCCCTTCCGACTGTGGATCCCCCTATTACAGCACTTACTTCTAATTCCTCTCTTCCTGCAGACCTGTTAGAGGGTCTCAAGGCAGAGGATAAGAAGGCGGAGAAGGTCTACCATGACCCATCTTGCAGTGGCTTGGGCCATTAGGGCATCTTCTTCCCCTTCATTCTTTAGCAGGGCCACAGTGATTCGGCTGCGTGAACCCGTGAACAAAATTCCCGCGGGTGACGTACGTCTCCAACAGGACTTTGCCAAGCTTATTGTGGCTTCGCAGTATGCGGCGGATGCCGCCCTCAACGCCACTAAATTCGCCTCCAGGGCTCTGGCTGCGAATGTCACGTCCCACCGTTTGCTCTGGCTCCAACATTGGCAAGCGGACCAGAAGCATAAATGGAAATTGGCCTCTGCTCCCTTTAAGGGATCAAAATTATTTGGGGAAGTTTTGGACCCTTACCTCATTGAGTCAAAGGACAAGAGGAAGGTCCTACCATCAACTTCTAAAAAACAGGACCATAAGTCCGCCCCATACCCGAGAAGGCAGTCCTTTCGGCCCTCCGAGCCTTCCACCTCCTCTTCCTTCAATTCCCTCACTAGGTCTTCCGGGCAATCGGGGATAGAGCTCAGGACAGGCCTTCCTTTCGAGACAGAGGCAGACAACAATTTGGCTTTCGTAAATTCAATCGCGGGGGCGCCTCCAACAGGCCCTAAGTGACTCCCCGAGCTCATCACCCATTGGGGGATGACTCCAACTGTTCGCCTCCCATTCGGCTCAGACAGCTCAGGATGCCTGGGTCCTGCAGATTGTCTGGGAGGGTCTTTCTCTGGAATTCCTATCCCCTCCCCCCAGGAACTTTATCAGGTTCCTACCCCCTCAGGTCCCATCAAGAGGGAGCAGATGAACCAGGAGATTCTACATCTCCTGGAGATCAATGCAATAAAGCAGGTGCCCCCCAGCCAGGAAGGGAGCGGGTATTACTCCATTCTTTTCCTGGTCCCGAAGAACTCAGGGGGGTGGAGGGTCATCTTGGACCTCAAGAACCTCAACAGGAACCTCACCTACTGGAGGTTCAAGATGCAGTCTGTCCAGTCGATCCTGGCGGGGATCTGCCAGGGAGACCTCCTCACCTCTATTGACCTGAGGGAGGCCTACATCCATATTCCCATTCACCCCTGACACAGGAAATTCCTGCTCTTCTTTTATGCCGGCCACCACTTTCAATACAGGGCCCTTCCATTCGGCCTCTCGTCAGTGCCCAGGACCTTCACAAAGGTCCTGGCAGTGGTGGCGGCCCATCTCAGACGCAGGCCCATAAGGCTTCAATGCTACCTGGACGATATCATTCAGTCGTCATCCAGGCGGCAGGCCTTGCGGTATCTTCATATCACAATGAGGATACTCAGAAACCACGGTTTTTCCCTGAACTTAGAGAAAAGCCACCTCACGCCCAAAACCAAAATCAACCATCTGGGGGCGGTGATAGACACTATGTCCTGCAGAGTCTTCCTATCCCAGGACAGGTTAGAGGTCCTCAGGTCCATGACCCGCAAGGTGATGCATGCGAGGCAGGTTCCAGTGGTCCGCCTCTCCCAGCTGTTGGGGAAAATGATCTCCTGCCTGTCGATCGTTCCCTGGGCTCGCCTCCACTCCAGGGCGCTGCAGTGGCTTCTTCTACCCCACCAGAGAGCCAGCAGGAGCAATTCGACCAGACTGTTTCCCGTACCACAGACGGTGAAGAGGTCCCTCCAGTGGGACCTGCACTCCTCAAAGGGCATCTATTCAAAGAGCCCAACTGACTGGTCATTACCACAGACGCCAGCCTCGCCAGCTGGGGAGCACACATGGGACGTCTCGTGGTTCAGGGCAAGTGGTCCCCAGTGGAGTCGAATTGCAGCATCAACTTCCTGGAGCTGCGAGCAGGTTGGCCCTTCAACACTTCCACCGCTCCATCCGTCACCGCCACATTCTTTTGATGATGGACAATGTGGCTACGAAGGCGCACATCAACCGCCAGGGTGGCACCAGATCCAAAAGACTGATGGCAGAAGCAGAGGCCCTAGGTCGTTGGGCGGAACAACATCTGGAGTCCCTCCGCTCCGACCACATCTCCGGAGTGAGCAACATACAAGCAGACTGGCTGAGCAGGACCACTATAGACTTCGCAGAATGGCGGCTGGATCCTGCTCTGTTCGATCAACTGTACAAATTCGGCCTTCCACTAGTTGACCTATTTGCCACCAAGGACAACACCCAACTACAGCACTTCTTCTCCCGCTTCCATTCTCCAGGGGCGGAGGGGACAGATGCCCTTTGTTGCAGCTGGCCCCGGGGCCTCCTGTACGCATTCACTCCTCTCCCTCTTCTTCCTCAGGTTCTCCACAAGATCATAATGGAGGGGGCGGAGGTGCTCCTTGTAGCACCTCATTGGCCCTGGAGGTCGTGGTTCGCCGACTTAGTCAGCCTGTCGGTGTCCCCACTGTGGCGGATTCCTCCAGATCAGGTCTCCCTCAGCCAGGGGGCCATCATCTACCTGGAACCCCAGTAGCTCCAGTTGGCCGTCTGGCACTTGAGGGGGACCTGCTGAAGGCCGAGAGGTTGTCGGACGAGGTTGTGTGTACCATCCAAGCAGCTCGACGTCCCTCAACAATGAGGATATACGACTCTATTTGGGCTACATTTGCCAAGTGGTGTGAGGACTTTCGGCTCGACCCGGTCACGGTTCCAGTGTCTCGAGTGTTGCAAGGGGGCCTTGAGAAGGGTCTCTCCCCAGCCATGCTCCGTCGCCAGGTGGCGGCTTTGTCAACCATTTGGTCTGGAGACCCCTTCCTACCCCTCAGCAGGGTTCCCAGGGCGCGCTGTTTCCTCAAGGGCGCTTCTAACATTCGGCCTCCCATGGTCCACCGCTATCCTACCTGGCAGCTGTCCATAGTCCTTCAGGCACTCACCACACCACCCTTCGAGCCTCTCCAAAATCTCTCACTGAAGACGGCCTTTCTTATTGCTATTACGTCCACCCATCGTATATCAGCGTTGGTGGCCCTATCGGTTCATCAGGACTTGTGTATCGTTCATGCCGACAGGGTCATTTTGCGACTTGACCCGACCTTCATTCCGAAGGTCAATACCTGGTTTCATAGGGCGCAGGAAATTATCCTGCCAAACTTTTGCCCTCATCCTTCCCATCCGAGTGAGCACAAGTGGCACAAACTGGACATACGACGGGCCTTGAAGATATATCTCCATCGCACTTCGGAATTCCAAAAGTCTGAGGCCCTCTTCATCTTATTCCAGCCCGGGTCCTTGGGCAAGAAAGTCTCATCTTCCACTGTTGGCAGATGGCTCAGGGCGTGCATCACATCTGCATACGAACTCCGGTCTAGGGCGGTGCCTCGCCACATCACTGCCCACTCAACACGCAGTGCAGCTACCTCTGTAGCTTGGGCCACTCAAGCCTCAATCAATGAGATCTGCAGGGCGGCCACGTTGTCTTCACCGTCTCTATTCGTCAAACATTACAGACTGGACACATTTGCCTCGGCTGAGGCGGCCTTTGGCAGCCGGGTGCTACAGACAGTGGTCTCTTCAGTCGAATCCCGGGACTCTTCTTCAGATGGACAATAACTTGGGTATGTCCCATTGCTTGGACTCTCCAAGCAGCGCACAGGAGAAAGTCCATTGGGCTTACTTGAAGGGTCCTTCTCTGTGCACCGCGGGAGAGTCCAACCCGCCCTGGTCAGTCTAGGGATTCGAAGCCGTCGTGTCAACATTATGGAACTCTTTGGTCGTTTTTCACGGCATCCTCACGGCCAAACCATCTCAAATTTCTGGAGAGCGATCACGCCAGGGTCAGGGAAAAGTTTCCTCAGTTTCCAGGGAAACCAGACTGAATTAACCCATTGCTTGGACTCTCCCAATGGCCTTTTGCTTTAATGCTGAGAGCAAACTCCTGCGCCACACCACATATTTTTGAAAGCAATATTGAATTTAAAAATTATTTATTTATTTGTCATCATTGTTTGAAAAAGAAATTCAGACCTTCCTTGGCTACTTAGAACAGTCCATTGGACCCTGGCCGTTGTTAATAAAAGCTGTGTATGATTAGGAAATCCTAAGCATTTATTAAGTCCATTTAGATTGGTACATGAATATAGTCTCATTCATATTTATACTATAGTATTAAAATTTTAAAATACAATATCTCACATTCCAAGCCTATCTGATTATTAAAATCTGCAAGAGAGGCACTTCTGAAGAGCAGCCATTAAATATATATTTATAAAACTCTTTTTTGTGTGTTAGATCCAGATTGTGAAATGAAGTAACATTTGGCCTTCCACTTTCTCTTCTTCAAATAAATAAAGATGCATTTATTTTAACATCCTTTTAATTGTTTTTCTATTAATTTTATGATACCTTTATGTACCTTTAGGATTTGTATTCAAATTGTGATTGCTTTTAGGATTCATTTGAACAAGGCTATAAGATAAAATTACAAGAAACAGGAATGGTTTTCCTTAGAACAAAATACTGTTTTTGAAAAATAACATTTCATCCCAATTTTTTATTTACAAAACTGAAAACCAATTTTGCTTTAATGACTAGACATTTACTTTCTGATTAGGAATAAACTAGCTCATTAGAAAGTAAGATTGGAATTGGAGGCGATTTTAAAAGCAGCAGTGTTTATTTAATATTTGTAACAGCATATAATATTTTGAAGTGTTTGTGTATTCTTAGGAAATTTTATAGAAGAGATTACCTATGCTTGTAGGTTATGCACAGGTAATAATTCTTATTTTTTCATTTGTCCTTTAGTCTTGTGTAAATTAAAATCCCATTT